AATAAATAATAGAATGAATAAATAAATAATAATTAAATGCATGAATAAATAAATAAAAACTGGTAAATAAATGGGACATAAATAATTGAATGTCTTAAATTTATTTCTCCATTTATTTATTTCCACATTTATGTATTTATACATGTATTTACTTCCACATTTATTCATTTCTACATTTATTTATTTCCATATTTATAAAAGACATTTAATTATTTATGTCTGATTTATTTACCAGTTTTTATGTATTTATTCACGCATCTAATTATTTATTTATCCATTCTTTTATTTATTCCAGTATTTATTTATACTTTTATTTATTTATTTATTTATTTATTTATTTATTTATTTATTTATACTTCTGTCAGATCTCGTCCTCCATACAGAAGAAGAGTAGAGAGAGTCTTACCTTTCGGCGAACTCGTTTGATGCGTTTAGAGCCGGATGGCACATTAAATGCGTGAATAAATAAATAAAAACTGGTAAATAAATGGGACATAAATAATTAAATGTCTTAAATTTATTTCTGCATTTATTTATTTCCACATTTATTTATTTCTACATCTATTTACTTCCACATTTATTCATTTCTACATTTATTTCCATATTTATTTATTTATAAAAGACATTTAATTATTTATGTCCCATTTATTTACCAGTTTTTATGTATTTATTCACGCATTTAATTATTTATTTATTCATTCTTTTATTTATTTATTCCAGTATTTATTTATACATTTATTTATTTATACTTCTGTCAGATCTCGTCCTCCATACAGAAGAAGAGTAGAGAGAGTCTTACCTTTCGGCGCACTCGTTTGGTGCGTTTAGAGCCGGATGGCACATCTGGAAAGGTGAATATCGAAGGGATTGCGGTGTCCTTGAGAGCGGTTTTCCTCATTCCCAAGACATTAAGTTCGAAGTCTTCCTGCTTGAAATGGAGACTGCAAATCCTGTGGTTTTTCAGCTGTTTCATTTCGGTGTCCTTTCCAAACATCGGGTGGTTGATAGCCCGCAGCCACTGTTTGCATCGCTCCACATCTCTAGCTGGTAAGTGATGAAAACTTACTACTTGTCCTTCTCTTGTTCTGATTGAACATCCGGGTACTAAGCAATAATTCACCATTTCGAAAGAATAACTACTGAGAGTGCTTCAGAAGTCTTGATGAATTTGCAAACTAACTTGTCACTAGAATTTGTGTTTGAACTGAGTTTCGCCTCAGTCTGTCTGTAGCCGAAGTGCCAAGTACCTACTCAGTCTGTCAGTAGGCAGCAGACAGTACCTACTATCTGCTGTATACTGTTTAGTATCTACTATTCAGTATGCAGATATTTGTTCCTACTTCTTCTGATTCATTCAGTATGGAAGTGACGTCATTTACGTTTCCTGAACCGGCCGCATTCACCCGTTTTTTTTTTGTTGTTTTTTTTTTTTAGCTTTATTCAAGAAAAGTAATGCACATATACAGTCAGGTAAACAAACAAAAAACAATATCACAATGTAAATCAAGTAAAAGATTAAATAACTAAATAACATACAGTACATAAAGGAAAGTACAAATGAAAGACAGTAATATACGGAATATAAAGTAAAATAAACCAATAATTACGCATTTAAATAGTGAATTCATTATTTAAATAGAGGGGGAAATGTTTTATAATAATGCAGACATTTGTTTTATTTTCTGTTGTTAATTAAAAGTAGTGATTTCAGTCGGGACTTTAACTCTAGATTAAAAATTGATTCAATTAAATCCACGCTCGTTTGTTTTGATTTGGAGGCGGACGTGACGTACCGATTTAATTTCGCACAGCATTGTGGGAGTTAAAGTACAATTCATTTCCTGAAAGCACGCATCCGATCCATACTGCATGAAACCCGGAAGTTAGTATCCATACTGAAATGTTCAGTGTACTGAGGTGGACCCAAAAGATGCATACTGAATGACCACGAGGGTTCAGTCTACTGAAAAGTACACACTGCATACTGAGCTGTGGATATTCAGAAAGGGCCGAAGGAGGAACAAATCTGCATACTGAATTGTAGACACTAAACAGTATACAGCACGGATAGTAGGTACTGCCTACTGACAGATTGAGTAGGTGCTTGGCAATTTGGATACAGTGGGCGTGGCCTGCGGTGCTGTGCATTCTGGGAGTTGTTGTCTTTCATCCACATGAGCCAAAAAGACACTTTCTTACATACAGTACAAACCATGAATCAGTGACATTTTTAACACAAGTTCTGTTAAATAAGGTTTCAGACTTTGAAAATTTTAATTTGATACAAGAAACAAGAAACCCTTTAACTTCCTCAGTGTGACAGAATGACATAACTGTTAGAAATCATTTATAAATGTACATATTTATACATTATTGTTGTTATAATTTAATCAAGCGGCATGAGTCACTTTCTTACTGCAAGTCATTTCCACGTTGTTTTCCTCTGACTTAAAGCTCAAGTCGGGATACTGATGCTCAAATGCTGGCTCTGGAGACCATG